CCATGCCTTCTTTTTTTTTCTTTTTCTTCTTCTCTTTTTGAATGTAAACTTGCACACACAATGTGCATATGTTTGAGTGTATATCATTAGTCAAGATCAGTTGTTTGATAAATTGGAGGCATGTGAAAGATTTGCTATATTTGGAAGGGTCATTTATCTCAATATACAAAGCAAGTACATGATGGGAATCTTGGGATCCAAGAAGTAAAGGCTTAGATTATGATCTTGTTGTGGGGGTAGTAGAAAATGAGAGAAGATCTAAAGAGACTTTATTAAATCAAGTGAAGAGTAGTTAAGCACATGCCTATGGACCACCTTTTATTTTGTTCTTTTGCCTTGAGCTACTTTCATTAAAGCTTTGGGAGCATCATATGAAATAGAATAAGAATTGGGGTGTATGTTATCCAAATCTAAGAAAGCTCCCTCTCTTTGAAGAGCACATGAGTATCCATTGAGGTGTTTTTGAGGTCCGAGCTCATGCACATGCACCATGGACTCATGCACATGCACCATGGTGTGGACTATTGCCCTAGCCAAAACCAATGAGCTAGGGTTCACATTGTTCTAAGCAATGTTTCGAAACTTTCCAAGACTTGCCGAAGTTGGACCGGATTGGAGAGGTAGTGATTCTGAACCATCTAAAACTCACAGTTTTCCAATAAATTTAATTTTTTTAAAATATAGCCATGTCCAATTAAAAGTTTCGGGTCGGACGTGGGGGGTGGAACCCTACCGAGGCAAGGCCCGAATCCAACTTTTGAAACACGTGTTCTAAGAGGAAGTGTGTGGCATATAAATTTCATGTGTTTCTATAATCTTAAGTACAATTATGTTCAGGGAATTAAATTTATCTCTATTTTATAACAAGGATTTATAATGTTGATAACAACTTCCATAATATCATTATAAAATCAATTTATTGTGATAATTTAAGGCTTCTAGTTATTATCATGATTACAACTTTCCCTGAAAACAGCTGTAAATGTCACTGTAGTAAACATGGAGTAATTTGCAAAGAACTCATAATGACGGGATTAGTTAAAGCTAATAAGTTGAATAATTATGTTTTATATTTTAATATTGCTATACATAGAAATTATTGTGAACTTTATCATTTATAAAATCTTTAACATATTTATTATGCTGTAAATTGTGTATTATTTGATATTATAGAAATTTATATCATAATGATACAAAGACAGTAGCAATAATATCCCGATAACGATAATTATCACCAAATCTATGATGCTTACAAACTTGAAACTTACAAAACTAGGAAATCCTACCCATGGTTTGACCTAGCATTCATGAGAAATGGTTCTATGAATCATGGAGCCACAGACCCTAACTTCCAATGAACCACTTAATTTGGTTGTGACATACATTTACTGGTGGGAGAGACCTACAAACCACTGAACTCTTAATAAGAACACTATGGACTCTCTTTGTTGCTTGGGACCCCCACCTTATCAAGGATATTGTCCCTTGAAATTTTATAGTCACGAGGGTCCCTCATAATTATGGGCATTTGTTCCTTAATGTCACTATTAGAAGTTAAGAACATTAAGGGGCTTCTTGGTTGCTTGACCCATCTAGCCCTACACATTTATAAGCATTTGTCTTTTGTGAAAGCTTTCTTTTTAATTTCTAAATGATTCAATACCAATCCCTTTGAGTCCGCAATAAGTAACATTAAGAGCATGTTTGTAATCAAAGATACAGGGCTACCTCTTTCTACAGTGTATGGAACTGACTAGGCAAATTATAAAAAATTTCGGAGCAAAAATGCAAGAAAATTATTTAGTGGTCCTGTGGGACAATCTTGTACATTTGGCCCTGCAGCCATTACTCTAAATCATCTTTACTTATCTCTAATATCAATCGTAGGCGTTGATTTAGAGCTCAAAATAGATTTGAATCACTTCCCACTCCCAAATTAACACCACGCCATCCATTTGTTAGAGTATAAGATCTAAGGTTTCAGAAGCCCAAAATCTTCTTCTTATGTTTTTCCTTTTTTTTTTGTTAAATTTTTAAATTGATCAAAGGAGAATCAAAATTGTTTTGAAAAATTTCAGGCCATAAAATTCTCCAATACTACTGCTAAATGTACAAATTGGTCCTGCAGGATCCCCATATATGCTCCCTAAAAAAACAAGAAAAAAAAAAATGACAGCTAGAGACTTACATAGTTAGCTTCTTATCATTTTCTTATTTTTATTTATATATTTTTCCATTTTCATTTTCAACTAACTCCTTGCAACTCACAGGAGTAACCGAGATAGCAGGGTTAGAGAGCGAAAGGAAACCTACAAAGAAATTAAGTGATTCTTTAAACCTATTGCATCCATACAATATGCAAAAGATATCGAACAAAGCAAAATAGAAAAATTCTTACAAATCCAGTTGTTTGGTTGAAAATGAAGTAAAAAAAATCGGTCTTAGGAGATAAACATAGAGCTAGAGAAAGAGTGTGAATGTGTGTGAGAGACAGAGAGGGAGGGAGAAAGAGAGTATTTGGGTGTCAAGGAGAGTGTGTGTGTGGCCCAATCGGATTAATACGACCCACGCTAAATTCCTACCGGGGCCCTCTCCCCCACTAACTCACCCAATCGGATTGAGGAGGTGCCAAATATTATACGTGGGAAATACGCCACCTTCTCAAGGATATTTTGAAACTTCCCACTTTTAAATTTTACTAAATTTATATTAAAAAGGTAGGGGTGGCTAAGTACCGGGACCCGTATGCCCGATCCGGGTCCGGGTATGGGTCCAAAAGTTTGACTCGGCGGATTGGGTCCGGGTCCGGGTCCGGGCCTGATCATGTCCATATCCGATTGGGTACTCTTGGGTCCAGGTCCAAATCCGGTAATATTTTTCCGGTCCCAATACATAAAATATATTTAAATATAGTTAAATACATACATATTTTAGTTTTTGGGTTGGATCTGGGTTCCACTCTATATTTTAGGGACTATATCCAAATCCGGTGAATTATGCTTCCAGGACCGGACCCAACACATTGCCACCCCTAAAAAAGGTATTATAGGGCAGGTAATATGCCGGCCGGCCAGCCTTACTGGCCCTATCAGGGTGGCCTTGTAAATCAAGGGCTGAGTCACACCCAAGGGCCAGACCGGAACCAAGCCACTATGAGTGAGGATAGGGCTGGACCAAAATACAATTGCCCGGCCCGGTTCTGTCCAGCCCAATATTTTTTTTTCTTTTCTTTCTTTTTTTTTCTTTTCCCTTTCAAGTGTATTAACAGGGCGCTAGAGCTTCTTCATCCCGGTCAAAGTTGGGCTGGGCTTGGGCTGGTCCCCTAGATATCATGACCGACCTGGGCTGGCCCGGCCCAGTTCCAGCCCAAGGAAATGAGCTTTACCAATTTAAAAGTTGGAAAGAATGGAGAAAAAAGATAATTAAAAACTTAGCATTTATATAGACAGAAGAAGGTAGAAAAGAGAGAGTTAAGAAGAAAGAGCGAAAATCCAATTTTCTCTTACCATTTTCATGCGGGCTCCCTTGAACACCGATTACTTGTATCAATCTTGGATCCAAATTTGTAGTGATCCATGATCTACACTACGATGATCATGAATATAAAAAATAAAATATAATAAATTAAAATTTTAAAACATTTTTATTACAATATTTTCCTATCGATAGGAATCTTTAATTGTGGATGTTCATCTTAAAGATGGACGATTGTGATTGCGCCGGCTAATGTGTCCGCTGACTTACAAAACACTTTTTCTTAAAATTACAGCAATTTAAGAGAGAGAAGAAAGTATTAACTTCTAATTCTCTTGGCAGAACAGTAAAGACCAAACAACGACATACAGCACAGTTGAAAAATAAAAAATTAAAGAAAGGGCAGATAAAGACTTTTAACTATTTTAGACCCTAAAAATCCTCTTTTACTTTAATGGAGATCCACAGAGAAATTTCTCTCCATCTCTGCTTCAATGTGATTTATAAAGCGTATTTCCTAAATAAAAAAGAAACTCCTCTTTCTATATATTTCTATACAAATCTTGAGAACCGCAGGATTATTTTTCTATATAAATGTCTCAAAGTTAGAGAGAGAAACCCTCAAAAGCATGTAAAGATAAAGAAGTAACACTCATCAGTAAACAAACCTTCATTAAATTTTCTACAAATAGGATCCCCCACAACGTTTTGACTTCACATCCAACAACTAAAAATCATTGCGGTATCTTGTGCTGACTTCACATCTAACATTTAAAAATCATTACGGTATCTTGTACGAAAGGTAAATATCTTATCATATACTTTTTCTTTTGCTTGTGCGAAAGGTAAATGATCTTATCGTATACTTTTTCTTTTGTTATTGCACTTTTTATTTATTTTATTTTATTTTGTATTGACCCATCCAAGGATTTTTTATTTTTTTTTTAATTGACCCATCCAGATATTTTTTTGAAGGTCAATTTCAATGAAAATGCCTCACAGTTCAACACTTGAAATTTTAATTTTTAAAGTGTCATTTTCATCTTGTATTGAAACCTAAAGTCTGTCGCAGTTGAGCACTTCAAATTTTAAGTTTAAAGTGTCATTTTCATCTTGTTTTGAAACCCGAAGTCTATTTGGCACTCCAAGTGCCGAGCTGACCTTAACTCATTGCATTGAATCAAGCGTCAGACTGAACATTCTTTCTCGAAGCCTGTTCAATGCTCCAAGTGACGAACCACCTACTGTTTTTCCCTGCAAACGAACCGAGGTCGACTTTAAGTTTCAAACTTAAACTTAAAATTTAAATTGTTTGACTGTGATGGGCAATTTCACCCAAAAAGATCTAAAATATTCACACAGTAAGAAGGTAATAGGTGTGTAATATCAAAAATAGTATGGGTTCCCATGTGCAGTAATTTCAATTTAGGTTAGTTTTATGTAATTTTCCTCAACCTCAGTATAGAGTTCCACTCCCACCAACTCCCAAGTAAACATTCAAGTATAATAATAATAATAATATACAGTAAACGAAGAGAATAATCTTCCATCTCCTTCATAATTCATACAGAATGGGAACTAATATTGTAAATAATTGAATACTTGATAGCCTACATCTAACATCGTTGCAATAAACACTCAAGAATACCCAACATGAGGCAGGACGGTTCCAGTAAACCAATATGAACAGTTTGAACAACAGTTCGAAATGTCCAAACTTTCTTCCAAATTATGAATTTGGGGCCGAATCGCCAAGTGCTCTTTTCCATGTCATCAAACCCATATACCACAGTAAATTTAGGACGAAAACCAAAGCCATGCCCAAATACCAGCAAATATCATGGAGGTTCTCTGAAAACTTGAATGTTTGATCTTCTGCCTTGGCCGTTCATTCCTTAAAAAGTGACTACTTACCTGCCACCCTAGGTCGGATGCTCAAGACCTAGGTAAGGATATGTTAGTCACTTTCACACTTCAAAACTGTCAAGGTTGGGTAGCAGCTGCAAGATTCATGCAGACGTGTTTTGTGACACTGATTTGATACTTTCCCTTAATTTTTCTCACTGTTTAAGACTTCACCACCTTAAATTAAAAACTGATTTCACGACGCTCGGCGAAGAATTTTCCAGAGGGTAGTGGACAAGACATAAGAGCAAGCCACACCCCTGTATCGGCACCTTCTTCTAAGGTATTATTGCCTTGCCACCCAGTCATGGCAGTCTTAACCCAGCCTGGACAATAGCAATTGATGTATACTTTTTGGACATCAGACCGAGTCAACAGCCTCTTTGCCAAGAGGCGAGTGTACGCATTCACAGCCAATTTCGAGACTGAGTAGTCAGTGAAATTTTGGGGCCACCCACCAGAGACCCAAGAGCCCTGCTTAACTTGTTCAAGGAATTTTGAAACAGTGCAATTGATTAGTTCTTCAGAAAGTGTAGCATCATCTGAAAGTTGTTGCCTCAGGGCTGCATCTCCTAGTCTCTGAGGAAAGGGGGGAGCATGTGTAAGAGAGGTTGAGAGCTTGGCTCACATCTTCAATGTCTAAAAGTCAGAATAGTCAAAGTTTATAAATTATCATGTCAAACGTATAGTGTACTTCAATTGATTACAGAAACTGAAATCCATTGAAGTTACGACGAGGTACAGTAAGACATTCCATTAAGATCCCATCAAGTTATCCCATTTCTTTTTCTATCACCATTCATAATTTCATTGGACAGTAATGGACTATCATTCTCTACATTCCTTTTGATATTTTGGTACATTCCTAATAAAAGCTTACAATACTCAAAATGGAATACAATAACAGTCAAATGCAAAGTATGGTTTATAGTTAGTTTCGAGATATATCAATGTTTGTGTTTTTCTACTTTTATTTTAGATAATTTGTCTTAAGGACCAAAAGAAAGCCAAACATCTAAGTTCTAAAAGGGGGCGGGGTAATGAGATTGGCTTAGTGTGCAGGGCTGGTCGAGGGCTTCTTGCTAAGGGTAATTGAGGGATTTTTTTTACAATTTAGCAAACAAACATGCACAAATGGTTTAAGTATATTCATATGATTATCAGTAAAGTATGGATAGTTAGCTCATTTGCTTATATTAGGGCATAGTTGCATGCAAAAAGCAGAGAGCTTTCAGCTATTTATGAAAATTATACTACATGTTTTATGAATCTGAGGGTCAGAATCATTTAACTAGAGGAAACCAGTGGTTTGGTGTTCTGTCAAAAACTTAAAAGTTTTTAACTGAGAATTTCTGAAAAGAATTCAGAATCCCATGCTTGGTTCCCTCTAAAAAATTTAACAGTGATACAAACAGGAGTTGACCAAGAAAAGGCTCAGCCCAGACAAAGACATAAAAGATCAACCAAAAAGCACAGAAAAAACTTCAGATTTGAATACCAAATATTAAAAATAAAGAATACAAAATAAAAATAAAGAAGAAAAGGGAAGAAGATCATAACTCAATAGACTATGTTATATAGTAATCCAATCTACCAACAGGTCAGGTTGGAGATTAACTGTTCCGTGAGGATTCCACTCCCAGTCAATCTAAAACCAGTCATCACTGAGAATGGTTGGCAGATGTAACCTTGCAGTACCGTATGCCATAGTTCATTGTCTTCCGGTATACTATCCTAGAAAGAAAACACATGTAGATGGACTTACATTTCGCCTGCCATTGAGCCTCCCAAGTCTTGAGCTAACATTCACTATACGAGCACCAAAAGGGGAAGGCTTCATTCGTGGTACCATGGCTTCAATCATCAGTTTGGTGCCCAGATAGTTTGTTCTAATAACCTCCTCAGCAAATTCCATGGAATTATCTGACCCAAGATTAAAATTAACACCGGCATTGTTGATCTGCAACAGGACCAGTTTATTCAGTTCACAGGGAACAAATGACCTTAACAACAAACTGTTAAATATATAAGACTAAACGGCATTGCAGCCAATAGATCTATTGTACCCAGACATGTCTACTTTGTTACAACCGGGTATTTCTCTAGAAGTGAGGGGATAGTCAACCTACGTAGCAATCAACATAATATGTAGCATCATGGGATGCATGGGTATGCTTCAATCTAGTGAAGGGGCAGAAATGAATGCTTGAAGAACGACAGCATGCACGCAGGTTTACAAGAACATGAACGATGGCAACATGTGGATGGACACTCTCTTCATAGTCAGTATGTTGTTTTTCACTTCTTTTTTTATGGCTGGTAAGAGTGTTGAAGGCAGCCATGAAAAGTGCATTTTTCAAATAACTTCCTGAGAGGTCCATTGCTAAGCATAAGGCTGCTTCACTAAAGAAGAACAAGATACTCTAAAGCTATATCATACATGGAAAATTGCAATGGAGCCAAAGACAGAATACACAGAATCAAGCATAAATTCAGACTACAAGGACTGGAGTCTACAATGGAATATTTTGCTTTGCACCAAAAACCAGTAACATCAGCCCATCAACCAATTGGTATAGAGTAACAAAACAAAAGCATGGGAAACCATATTTCTAAATAGTGAATTGCAAACTGTCATGAGATATCTACATAGATCAAGATCCTTGGCATCCAGCACATTTTCTAAACTAGAAAAAGTTATACATGGGGGCTGAAACAAGCACTCAGGGCATGGTCAGAAATTTCAACTCCTTTGGAGAAGAGAAAAGTAAAACAAGTGCCATTTGGCAAAAGTGTGTTGAATTAAAGTTTTGCCGGGGGAACCTTGGCTGTCAAGAGAGCTGACTCAATTACAGACAGCTTGGCTCTCAAGACCTTAAAAGTGTTAGGGGAAATTTCTAACTCTATTGAGGCAGAAGAGGGAGCTCTGTTGGATCATGGAGGGCAATTTTACTCGAAATCATTAAATAGGACAGTAGAGATTTAAAATTCATGGGAGATACTGTGAACCTTGGAGCTTCAAAACTGAGCCTGAGTGGCAGATATCTCATAAATAGAGATGACTCACTGTCTCACAAACCCCTTTCTCAACCAATATCAATGTAATCCGCAAGCAAGGATCAAACACATAGGGGCCGTTTGGTAAAAATATATTGTCTGTGAAATATATTACAGGTGTAATACATTACCTGCAAATAGATTGTCACTATTTTGATAGTATTTAGATGCAACTTGGGAAATACATTGCTACTGTTTGGCTATGTCTGGAAGAAATATGAGAAATGCATTACTATCCAAATATGAAAAATATAGTTATGTTTGGCTAACATGATTAGACTTTGGTTTCAACATGATAAGTCATTGGAATAATATGATTGGAATAACATGATTTTATTGAGATAAGCCTTATTTTTATTTATTTTTTTATAAGTCTTTCAAATGTCTCTCTAGATATAATTTCAAATAATCAATAAATTTATGATACCAAAATCAAAATCTTTATGGTACAAATTAAAAAATGGGAAGAAATTTGATTAGTAAACTAGAAGGTTTGGTAATTGCAGTAGAAAATTTTGAAGCATTGAAGGATACTAAAGAGGTATCTTATTTCAATTGAGCTTTTACTAATCTCTTATGAGGATTATGTTGTGTGAATTTTTTTATTATTATTGTGTTGAGTAATTTCTCATTGATTACCAATTATTATTTTTGTTTTTATACGAGAATGGAAGGCGGGCTACAACCCAAATTGGGGATAGAGGGATGTAGAACTTTTTTTATTATGATTGCAGTAGAAAATTGTACCTCATCAAGTTCTACAACTGATCAAATCAATTTAGATTCCCCCCTACTTTTACTTGTCGATTATTAAAAAAATTTATTTTTATATGAGAGTCAGATGAGGAGTACAATCCAAATTGGGGATATAGGGATATAAAAAAAATTTATTTTGATTGCAGTAGAAAATTGTCCTTTTACACCTGTTAAATCAATTTAGATTCCCCTTTTCATATCCCCTACTTTCACTTTCTACTTCCGTTAATAATTATACAATACAACGTATAGAAAGAGGGAAATATTTTTTTATGCGGGGAAAGGGCAGAGAGACGCATGCTAAAGATTTCCAAAGATTACCCGTCAACCTCATAATAGATTTTTCACCCATCGTTTAATGGATTTCGTGATTTTTGAGAAAATCTCGGGTAATGTCTTTCCATTTCCTTACTATTAAAATGTACCCAAACAGTGTAAATGTCATATTTCTTTGTAATTTATTGTCACATAATAGATTTCTACGTACTCAAACGGCCCCATAAGGTCCACTGAGCCCCTAAATACACAACCATCATAGAACAAATCTAACAATAGATTTCCACGTACCCAAACAGCCCCATAAGGTCCACTAAGCCCCTAAATACACAACCCTCATAGAACAAAATTTAAATGAGCATAGGATGTTCCTTTTCTCTTGTTTTCTCTTGTCAACTGGCCATAAACCTTATATATGTCAGGAAAGAAGATTTGAAAATGTTGTCACCTTGGCCAAAAACTCTCAAACAAATGACAATGAAACTGCCCATGATGTTTTAGTGGGCATAAAAACTCTGGTCTATAGGAAAACTAACTGAGCATCATTTAGAGTCAAAAGTGCATTTCCATGACACAACAAAGAAAATTCAAAATGTAAACTACATGAAAAACAAATAAAGCTTCTGACCAGAACATCAAGTCCGTCATATTTTTGAACAATCCACTCAGAAAATCGTGTGATGGAGTCATGGTCAGAAATGTCCAGTTGATGAAAATCCACATTAAAACCTTCCCTCTGCAAAGAGGTCATGGCTTCCTGACCTTTACTAACATCCCTTGATGTTAAAATAACTCTGAGGCCATGCTTTGAAAGTTGTCGAACAATCTCAAATCCAATTCCTCTGTTACTTCCAGTCACAACAGCTGTTGTTTCTGAGCACCACCATCTAAACCACAATACGGAAAACAATCAATTCCCACTTAAAATAAAGACTTGAAAAAAGAAAAAAGTCATGGTTGAATAAGAAGTAAATTGGAGAGGCAAATATTTGTAAAAGTTCATAATAACCAGCCATCATCATCATCTAAGCCTTATCCCAACTATTTGGGATCGGCTAACGTAGGTTTAGGATACATGAAACAATGTGGCAAAGTTTTATGTTAGCTACGTACCTAAACCTCTTCCTTTATCCGGGCTAGGGAGTTGGGACCAGCATGACCAGCTTGGAACCGGTCATGGGACCAGCATGACCAGCTTGGAACCGGTCATGGCGGAGTTAAAAAAAAGAAGTCATGGTTTAATACGCATCATAAATGAGAGAGGCAAATATTCAAAAAAGTTAAGCATAACTAGTTAGACTTGAAATATGCAAATGATAATCAAAGCAATAAGGGTGATATTTGAGAAGACTTTCCATCATAAACAATTAAGAAACACGCACTATAAGTTTACATCCTATAATTGCCAAATATAAATTCAAAATGCTTAATCGTAAGCATCGTATCCTGATGAAGCACTCAGTTCAAATACAAGGCTCGAACTAGGCACTCAGCAAGCCCTGGAGTCCAAGTCATCTGTGCAAACTCAGTCAAGCCAGTCAAGGACCCGGAAAGTTATAATACTAAAATGTACGAACCAGTTGAGTTTAGCCTTTCCTACTCAGACTCGGCACCCTGCCAAGTGCGAGTAACTCAGGCAGAGTCAAGTGGACTCACTCGAGTTTTAGAAGACTGGTATAAACCCTTAGATTCCAGGTTGGAATGCAAATTTAACCCACCATCAAGGAAGAAAGATATTTCCACCCAGATTACCATACTAAATTATCAATTACACTCATTAGCGGGCACAAAACTTGAAAACAGTCTAGAGTAGGTTCAATTTCCTACAGTAATGCAGCTAACAATTGAACATAACGAAATAGAGGCCTAGCAAAGACTTATTGGCAAGAAGTTCTTGCAAATCCGCTACAAACACAATTTAACACAATCATGTCACTATAAAATGAAAACCAAGCAGCAGTTTTATAGGCTATTATGATTATTTAGGCATCCCTACCATTAGAAGTTTTCAACTTGATAAGGAAATCATATTTCCTATAAAAACTCAGCGATAAAATCTAAGTGAGAAGAATCAATGAATTGAACAACAGAACAGATAGCAAGAATCACATTTCTTAGTCGAAAAAACCCCAATTCAAAACCCAAATAGTTCACAAAAATCGAATTGAACATGGTTTCTGAGGATTAAAGTACATACTAACAATGGATTTTATTTTTTATTTGTTTGAAACTGGTTAACTACAATGGAGTATAATTATGAGTCAAAAAACTAAGGGTAAATAGAGCTGACCTTTGTTGTTGAGTATAGGGCACTTGTCTAAGGCGAGCGACCTCATTGAGCCTCGATTGCCTCCGCTCCTGAGCTCGAGCTCGAGCTCGAGCTCGACCTAGACCTGCTTTTCCCATTTAGAATCCCTCTCTCTCCCGAATAACAGAGCCGGTTAGGGCAAGTAAAAACAATGGAACTTTACGTACGGACCGGATTAAAGGTCCGTTAAGGAAATGGTTTAAAAATCCGTTAATCTCCAAGAAATCTCAATTTTTTTTATTTTGACAATTTTGACCCCGGTCCGATGTGACCGCAACTTAACACTCCTGGTACGAATATTTCATGAACTGGACGTTCTTGAAGTGGGTTATCTTTTTGGGGATGCTTTCAATAAAATGGGCTTCGGAACAAGAATACGAAGCTTGGAGAGATTCCCAGGTTGATTGCTTCCCAAGAAACCTTCAAATTGGTTGTCGTTTAATTGCATAGAGCACTGTTGGTTCCTTCCTAGGGTGTCTAGTAAAACACCCAAGAAACGATTTGTTATGAGCCCGCGATGCGATCCGATGTTTCGGACCGCACAATTTTGATGTTCATTTGTTATGAACAATGTCGATCCCATGTTCCTAACATCAGATCCCGATCAGATGTTAAAGGTTCAAAAACAAAAACGTAAAAGTAGTTAACGGGACTTGACGGGACTGGGTTTAAGATACAGTCTGATATTTGAAACATCGGATCGGAATCAAAATAGTCAAAAAAAATTAGAGATTCTATCTTTTTTGGTAATAACTACCCAGTTTTTAGCCATTTCATTATAGATTCAGCCAAGTCAGAGGCTGATTCAGAGACCAAGTCCTAGGCTGACTCAACCAATTTTTCCCATTAGGGGACCTTGGTATAGGGTGACTCTCTTGATTATTGGGCTTCTCTCTACGAAATCGCATGGTCTTGATCTGGTCTTACTCAAGCAATTCCTAAGTTGGATGCGCGAATTGTTAATCACCTTATGGCTTATCCAAAGTCAGCTAATTCAAAAAATGGTATTGGAAGATCAGCATTCACATGCTATGTACTTTGTTGAATACATGAGACAGGAGTACTGCTACCTTTCAACTAGTGATATAATGCATAATAGAGTGGTGGGTTTCTACTTAGCTGTTTACACAAGCAAGCTTCCAACGATGTGTGTGCTTCTTCGTGTGAACATGCATAAAGATAAAAGAGGAAAATGTTGTATTTTCGTTCCAACTAATTACAATTGCCAAAGAAATTTGTCATATTTTTCTCTCCTTTTATAAATCAGGCTTAGGCTTGAGTAATTAGCGGCATCAAGTTTGATTCCTATTGCTGAACTACCCAAAAAAAATTCATTCTCAAAGAAAAAGGAGCAAAAGTAATTGTGTGTGCAAAATAATCTTCCTTTCTTTAGTTGTGTTCCTTAATTTGATTAGCCCACCACAAAGACAATCGCCACTTTGAACAGTGGAAAAGCATAAGCAATATTGCGAGAATCAGATACCCATTAAATCATTAAGGGGTTTGATCTAATCAAAACTAGCCTGACTGTTGATCAAACCAATTGGACTGAATTAAGAAAAAAATATGAATAATGTTTTAAAAATATAAAATATATTACAAAAAACACAACTTTGTTTAGTGGGTCCGACGTGTCAATTATGGCCAGTCTGATTAGCCAAAATCAGTAAAACATTAACTTTGACAGGCTACACATGAGTTTTGAATTGGACCGATCAAGACATCGGTTAGCAGTCTGACTGGTCGAATTGGGTAGCCTGATCTAGTGTCTGGTCTTGATAATTATGAGTAAAAAGGGATAATTCTATGCCAACATTTTTGGGTTTCCTACATATTGCTAGTACCCTCTCCACCAATCCAATGCCGACAATAGACAGTTGAAGTGGTGCCATTCCTCCTTTTAAATGCACACGATTATTATTTGACTACTCGAGACTCATCACATTGGCGAGCCAGAGTTTTCCCGACTTGGGGTGTCGTACTTTGAGATATTTAAAAAAAATCAAAAAATTCAAAAAAAAATCCAAAAAAATAACGAATTTATTTGCCATACATTTTTTTATATTTTCAATCATTTTCACAAAGATTGGAAAGTGTTTGGGCCATAAATACTTATTTTTATATTTTTTCATTTTTTTTGGATTATTTCAAAAAACACCCCTAGTTACAAGTTGATTTTTTAAAATTTATTTTGTAATCCTTTTCTAATCGCATTTTGATGTGTTTTGCTTGATCTTACTTTAAACATACATTTTTTATTTTTTTGGATTTTTATAATATGTAGGCTTTTTTTTTTTTTTTTTTACTGCTTGAGCATTTCGGCACTACTTCAGCCGAGTTACTCAAACTCAGGTCGACTGCTCAGATGAGGCATGGGCCGAGTACTCATCCGGAGTAGTGGTTCCGACATGCACCCAATACATGGCAATGCATATATTGCCGCATATTGTTGACCCTGGATGACTTGGGAGGCACTAGTATTCTGTGGAAAACCCAAGTACTGACACTGTAAATAACCCACAAGCAGTAAAACAAAGTACTATTGAGAAAAGAAGTACCTTCCTAGATAGTACAATATACTACAATGTACTACATTGGGACCAATCAGGTATAAAATAAACCAATTTCATGCTTGAGGAGGCCCAATGGGGAGAAAAACCATACACATCCTTGAGTGCAGCGTTGATGAACCCAAAACCCTAATTTCAGCAGCGCTGTACTCAATGATGCCTTTGGTATTTCATGTAATTTTTCTCTTATTCCTTTTTTTGGTTATTCCTTTGGCTCTTTTCAAGGGCTTTGGGGCTGATGGTTAAGACACCCAAGGGGAGGTAAGGGTTCAAATCCTAGTTTTTTTTTTTTTTTTTTTTTTTTTTTTTTAAGGCTTAAACCTTAGAATTTTTTTCTAAGTTCCCAAAAAACACAACCAAGCTTTTTATTTTAAAGCTCTATCAGTTTATTATATCTACCATAATCGAGTCCACTCGGACTCGCCCCCTTGGAGAGCTGAGTACCTCTGTACAACTTGGGGTATATAAGAAAATAGAAAAATCATGAAAAATATATAAACATGTAGAATCAATGTATAAAATTTGTGTATGTAACGTGGATATTTTTGGGAAATATTAGTGATTTTTTGTTCTTGTCACACACCCGAGTTTTATATTTTCTGAATTATTTAAATATCCCCTGTAATCATTTTTTTTTTACAAAATTTTTTATTTTTATTTGGACTTTTGAGTTTGTGCTTGGTTTTGTCTGACATTTCCTCTTTTCTATTTTAATTTTTTAATAAAATTCAAGGGCTTTTGGGCCCTGTACAGTAGGCGGGGGAGTGCAGTTGGACTCACCCAAGTAATTTGCCTTGGGCTAGGGCCAAGGAAAATATGCATAGACCAAAATATTTATCAGATTTTTAATATATTCTGGTCTCTAACAAAACATTTATCAGATCTTTACGTCATTATTCCATTCATTTTCAGTTTTTTGAGCCAAGAGAGAGTTCCTTTATTTGGTTTCCTATTCCTTAATTCTAATCTTAATATCATCACATAGATAAAGAGAAATTCGTCTCTTCCTCTAGAATTTAGGAAATTGGGCTTTTTTATCTAAGAAGTCTTGGTTTGTTTTTTTTATGACATTTATCTTGTTGCACTTTGGGTACTACTTCTTCAATTCAATTAGTACCTAATTATCATTTTTCATTAAGTGCGGCAGGTATAGTAGAAATAAAGTTGTGATACTCTACACCGTTGTAGATTTGATACATCTTTTAAAACAACATCAATACATGGTGAAATAAAATGGATAGATTAATGCAACTTTATTTCTACAAATAAAGTTGCAACCTAATATAAATGTTTTCTTTTTTTTATTTTGTTCATTTGTTCTGCTAGCACTTGTGTGAGACCCATATGGGTGTGGGTGTTTGTGCTTGTGTGAGATGGAGATTTTTTTTTTTTTAGATACGTTAATGGCGGGAGAAGGATGAGATGATATGTTGATGCATTCACCCCCAACCACTTATGCCCCAACCCCATTCCCGTGTGAGATGGAGATATTGTCCATTGGAAAAATATCCTATACACAGTGCTTGTAGTGTTGAGTACTCGGACGAGCTATCAACCATCCGTCCTTATCTAAGGACGGTCGAGATGAGACATTGTCATGCTTTTATGTCAAAAGAACGACGACAGACATCCACCGTCCATTTGGTAAGTTGAGAATGGAGGGCCGGTCTGAATTCCCTGTATTGTTGTATGCCCTGTAGGAGTATACTGTCCATTTACTTCATCCCAAATTTGGGGGATTTAACTTTTTCATAGACTAACCTCAAAAAAGAAATAATACCCAAGATTGGAGGAGATCTAAATATTAGAGAGCTGAAAATTAAATTTTTTTTTTTCATTTGAAAATAATCATCTAATGATTTTTAGGTGGTTCTCAAAATTTAAATTGAAAAAAAAAAATCTCTCAAATAAATCGGGGAGTAGTTGTCCGTAATGCTCCGGTAGGAGCATAGTAGACATGCTCCTAATGTTTCCACAAATAGCAAGGATAGACACGAAGGAAAAGAAAGCACCTTGTTTCTATGTTCATAATCGTTTGTGCTGCCTCGAGATTATATGCTCCCCAAGGATCATATAATGGATTTACTCCCTTTGGTAAAACCCTCCAGGAGCAACTTATGTCTAGGGGATATAACCTTCTCAGCCTAGGGGTCAAATTCAAATAAAGCAATCTTTATGTGTGCCCAAAAGAATAACATCCTGAATGGAGACCGTCCAATTTTTTAACAGCTAAATCTAAGTTTTTAGAAACTCAAAATCTAATTTCTTATAAAAAATACTTATATGGTGATGGTTAAGTGGATCCCAAAATTTCAGATTGGAAACAACAGCCTTTTTTGTGTGTTTCAAATTCTGAAAAGCATGCCTCCTTGGGTAGCTACTCTATCCAACGCAAGCTTGAAACTTATTTAACTTCCGAGCTCGAAGAGGTTTTCGGATCTGCCTCCAAATCTCAGTGAACTGGACCGTTGTCTCCACAACATGTCGAGATCACGGCCAGCGTGGCTTGCCACACCATCTCTGTGTAGGCAAGGATCTCCACCCTGTCTCCTTAGGCCCAGGGTCATGGCTCTCTTTTACCCCATCTTCAAACTACAAAAAGATGTTCTATGGTTACCATCTACTATTGAGTATGAAGGATCAAGATGATACTCATTATATAGGTATAACATGAAACATTGAATGTAATTCTCCAATAAGAAATACAGTTTTTGGGTAATTCAATGGGGGAAGATATGCCTTACCTGTTTTTTCAAATAGTTTAGAAGTCAGTTTTTTTAAGGTATTAAGGGGGTGGTGTAAGAGGAAATACATGTATATGTACCTTTTTTTTTTTTAATGTTTCCTCAATACTATTCTCATGTTTCCTAATATCCAATGCTTGACCTACTAATCAATCATCCTTGTTTTCGCATTATCAATCCTATTTCACGTTTCTCTCTTGAGTTGATACCTTTATTCTTCTCATTTTGTTTGTAATATTTTTTTCTTGTTGAGTCAGTATCTCACTCTCAACTTTTCAGTTTTAGTATCACACGTCTTTGCATGATAGAATGTTGACCGAAAAACTTGCTTTAAAATTATTTGGTTATGAAAAATAATATTTTTACTTTATTGTTTAAACTTTAAGCCTATATTTGATTTTATAACTGGGGAAGTCTCATGTCCACATCATGTAGCCGGTTGAAGGGCGCACAAGAACCTTCTAGCGGTTCGTTGACGGTCACAAATGAATTATTTTTTTTTCAATTTATTTAAAAATTTATCGTCATCCATTGGTCACAAATGAATTATTTTATTTTCAACTTATTTAAAAAATTTATTTATCAAAAATTTAGTATGTAGATGTATTTTTATATTGCATATGAAATCAAAATAATAAAAATATTTTGAACAAAAATTGATCAGAATGCCACTAAATATTTCAAAGGCTCTGGTCATTTTATTTTGTTCAATATTTTTTTTATTTTTTTATTTGGTGAACCATTTAAAAATGCATCTATTGCCCAATTTTCATTTCAAAATAATATATAAATAAAAAATAAAACTCAGACCGTTGGATAAGACTAGGTTTTGCATGAATTAATAAATGATGCTTGTGCACCACGTGTGTCCACATGGTCTTGATGCTATATCATCCCTTATTATTATATCTATTTAATTTTGGGTGTGGTTTGTATAAGGTTGTAACCCTAAACAATCAAATTAAGGTGCACCATTAAGCTTTGTCATGAGATGTAATTTTGGTGTAAAATTTTTTAAGATGGTGTGAGAATCTATTTTAATCTTTAATCATAAAATTCTAAACTCCAAAAATAGTATAAATCAAGCGAATCTATAAATACATGAATATCTTGATAATAGATGGTCCAGATAATGTGTCGCAATATGTACTATTTTTAGAACTTAAAATCTATTCTTTTCTTCTATCAATACATCTTGATATTATAATGATCGATTAATATTTTTTCAACATTAAAACAACCTTTTTCGAAGGATTTTGGAAGTGCACCTTAATTCTACATTTTAAAGTGTCAACCTTATATAAACGTTTTTTCATTTATGCAATTCTCAATTAAATGAGAAGTCTATTTTGGGGCATGTTTGTGCTCTCTATCTTCTCTCTCTTTCCTACTAATCTTCTATGTTTAGATACTCCAAGATCTCATTCCCCTTGATTATATATGTTTCGGAAAATCATGAAAAACCATGTATGACACGTGGCTCATACTGTGTAACACTTTCATTTCCTCCTAGTATTTATTGGATTTGGAGAAGAGTATCCATTGATTTCTTCTATTTTTAGTTAGAGTTTTGAACATCATTAACCAAATAAGTAATTATCCTCAGTTTACCATATAAGCCTTCATTATAAGCGAAATGAAATGAGAGTATCCAACCACACAAAATCCAGTGAAACTTGGAGAAGAAAAAGGTGAAGAAAATCTTTACCAAATGAAAACTAATGCTATCAATATTGGATTGGCCATTGGTCTAGTTAAGATCTGTCCAACAGCAAGTCAAAATTGGTTAGATTGGATTATAAAAATTAAAAAATAAGAGAAATAATTTAAAAATATAAAATATATTAAAAAAAATGTCAATCAATTTTTTTTGCAAATGAAACAGGCCAAAAACAAATAGGTCTGACCGCCAAAACTAATCTAACATTGATTTGACTAATTTTCAATCAAATTAAGTTTTTATTCTATACCAGACCTACAAAAGCACTAGTCGGTGATCCGAGCCTCAAACCAACCAATCCAGTCCTATTTCAATAATAATAAAAGAAAACAATTACTTAGCATAAATAAGCTAAGAAACAAGCCTTAATAGAGATTTATTACACCGCTGAAGAACACAAAGATATATGGGGACATGAGGGTCCACCTCTTAGTGTGATGGCTTAGGCTTATGGGCCTAACAATATGATCAAAGTAAAACAACTTTCTATACATTGGGAAAGAAGCCACAGTGATCATGGCTAGAGGGGTGATTGGGAAAGAAGCCACAGTGGTCATGGCTACACCCTCCATAGCATCTTTTGTTCTCAATGAAACTACTTTCTATACATTGTACGATGTTGAGCTCAGCTATAGGACACTCCAAAAGGCAAGCCGCCCTCACAAACATCTGGTATGACAGTGGCTCGGTTCTTGCAAATCAAGATTTATGTAGCCGATCCAATTAGTTGAGAAAAGATTTTGACGATAACGATAATGAGTTGTTCAATATTTGCCCATACCAACCAATGCGGATATATATATCATAATATAGGATTTCGTGCTCCTGGGAACATAATCCAATTTTATCGGATGTCTCTTGAACCCTCAACATAATGGGAAGTAACGATGCATGCTACCAGCAAGTAAAAATTTAAACCCTTTAACTAGCATAACTCTTGTAAATAGTAAAACATGGCCCCCTTTAGGTTGGCCAATCCAACCTTGGCTACATCGCAGCACTGACAATAATACTGACCCACGTTGAGGGGTCCCAATTCCCCTTATGTATTTAGTGAAAAAAAAAAATTATATATAAAGAAAAAGTATACAATGACAGATACTTTTAGTACAAGGTGGTCACAATTAATCTTGACTATTGGATGTGAAATTGAATGACTATACTTATTCCTTTGACCGAGCTCAAACTTCATCAAAATAAATTTTTTCAAAGTTTGTGACACACCCAAGATATCAGATTTCTCATCGGAGGGTTATAAGTACTTCTGACCTCCTTGTATTAAAAGTAAATAGTCTTATTGTTTACATTCTTTATATATAAACCCTTCAATTTTGGAGAATGGGATCTAGAAAACTCAAAAGTCAAAAAAAATTTTGATAATAATTATTTGGTGATTTTTAGCTGATTCCCACAAATTTTAGAACAACATAATTTTCTCAAGTTTCTTGCCTGTGGGAGTCAATATACACTCATATCTATTATACACTACTAGTCTCTTAAAAACGTTTCTTCTATAATGTCTTGAACCAATTGGTTTCGTAACCGCATTCAAAGGCCAAAAAATTATTATTTTTAAGAAATGTAGCATGCTCCGACGAGAGCATACTATAAACATGTTGCATTGAGAGAAGGACCTATTTAGGAAGATTTTATTGATCTTGAAACTAGATACATATTTGCAAAAAAAACTAAAAAGGAATCTTGAGTTCCTAAATACTTAGATTTAACACTAAAAATTAGTCAGTCTTTCTTCATTCCTTAGACATTACGTTTTACAGGAGATATAGAGAGCGTATAATTTTGATTTTTTTCTTTTTGAGTTGGTTACTGGGTTGAGGAAGTTACATCTCTAAATATTGGGCCCCTAAAAAGTGCAATGGGGTTAATTTTCAGTATACTATCGCGGGAGCATACAATCATTTGGCAAAAAAACATTTGATTCTAATTCAAAAATCATCTGTGGCCATCTTCTTTAATGAATGGTTGTTTTCCAAATCATACTTCTCTTCAACCACTTTCAGTTTTGTTTTTGATATTTGTACTCGGTTTATTATTTTGGTTTTTTTTCATTTAGTTTTGTTAGGACTTGATTGTGGGTGTGGAGAGAGACAGAGAGAGAAGGGGATGTTGTCCATAGGTGTGTGTGACATTTTTTTCCTATTATTTTTTGTAATATTAGGAGATTATACATATAGGAATCCTCACATATAAATGACGATACCTATAAGCCGTTTGGACCTCTCATAAGATCAAAATTGCAAAAAAAAAACCAGGCTTAATTGGTTAGCGCTTGACGATTTGCAACGCTACGTCATAGGCTCAATTCCTAC